ATTACCTTCTAAAATCTTTCACTGAAATTGCCCAGTTAATCTTTCACTGACACTGTTGGTGCTGTCACCGCTAGATCTAGCGGGCTTCCCTGAAGCCGAGGTTTCCCCCTAAACTGAACTGTAATTTTGGCAGCGTCTTCACTCAGGGAAATGAGTGGGGATTTGTCCAAATAGCGACGCACTTCTTGTCGCTGAGCGGGTCAAATTGACTCAAGCAATGGCGTCTCCGGGCTACGTGCCGGAAGTGTGTCAGTATTGGGACAGAATGGCCCCTGCGTTTATCTGAGTGTTGCAGTGCCAGCGTTAACCTCTGGAAGTTTCTTGACAATATTTATTTCGCTGGTCATTTTATTAATCATAGACTAAAATATCAATATTTTATTCATTTATTATAATATAAATAATTACAATAAATGTGATGAAGTTCATATTTTTATTTGAAGCGCTTATACTGAAGATAGAGAGGTGACATATAGAGGCTGCTGCAGACGACTGATGATATATAAAGATAAATAAACACTGAAATTAAAGCCATATAAAGGTATATAAGAAACTGAAACTATACATTTATAAAGATATATGAACACTAAAACTAAATATATATAAAAATATATAAAATGTTGAAAATAATGATATATAAAGTTATATAAAACATTGAAAATGAAGATATGAAAAATATATATGAAACACTGAAACAAAACATAGACAGAGCACATAAAAACGCAAAATAATCACTCGACAGCACATCATGCAACAGAAGAACTAACTTTTGTGAATGTTTATGGACATTTATTTATGAATATAGTTATTAAGATCAATAACAATTGTATTAATCAAGTAATATTGATATTAAATTTTGTTCTATATTACATGTTATTGACGACGTATAACACATCTGAGAACAAAGAGTTAAATTAGGGACCAGAGGGAAGAGGTGTGGGGACCTGAGGGAAGAGATGTGGGGACCTGAGGGAAGAGATGTGGGGACCTGAGGGAAGAGGTGTGGGNCAACAAGCAGGCTGCATGTCCCAGTTATCAACAAGCAGGCTGCATGTCCCAGTTATCAACAAGCAGGCTGCATGTCCCAGTTATCAACAAGCAGGCTGCATGTCCCAGTTATCAACAAGCAGGCTGCATGTCCCAGTTATCAACAAGCAGGCTGCATGTCCCAGTTATCAACAAGCAGGCTGCATGTCCCAGTTATCAACAAGCAGGCTGCATGTCCCAGTTATCAACAAGCAGGCTGCATGTCCCAGTTATCAACAAGCAGGCTGCATGTCCCAGTTATCAACAAGCAGGCTGCATGTCCCAGTTATCAACAAGCAGGCTGCATGTCCCAGTTATCAACAAGCAGGCTGCATGTCCCAGTTATCAACAAGCAGGCTGCATGTCCCAGTTATCAACAAGCAGGCTGCATGTCCCAGTTATCAACAAGCAGGCTGCATGTCCCAGTTATCAACAAGCAGGCTGCATGTCCCAGTTATCAACAAGCAGGCTGCATGTCCCAGTTATCAACAAGCAGGCTGCATGTCCCAGTTATCAACAAGCAGGCTGCATGTCCCAGTTATCAACAAGCAGGCTGCATGTCCCAGTTATCAACAAGCAGGCTGCATGTCCCAGTTATCAACAAGCAGGCTGCATGTCCCAGTTATCAACAAGCAGGCTGCATGTCCCAGTTATCAACAAGCAGGCTGCATGTCCCAGTTATCAACAAGCAGGCTGCATGTCCCAGTTATCAACAAGCAGGCTGCATGTCCCAGTTATCAACAAGCAGGCTGCATGTCCCAGTTATCAACAAGCAGGCTGCGTGTCCCAGTTATCTGTGCTGATATTCACGTCTTCACTCAGGAAATAGAATGGGTTAGATTGTCCAATAACGATGCTTTATGACCCACATATCAAGCACAGAACTGACGTTTAACTAATGCGCTCGTTTGCCTGGCAAAACTTGGTCAGGATGACTCACAAAAGCGCCAAAAGAGCGTCGCTACTTGGACAAAGTCATGCACATTTCTCTAAGTGTTTGTCACTTATCTCACCAGTTCCTGTGAAGACTTCGCGTCTGCACGCGTTTTTGGGCACGCAACACGAGCGCTGCTTCTGGGTAGCAATATAGAGATAGAAATATTGATATATGTAACAGATGATATAATGATCTATGATCAATGATATAAGATATGAGATATGAGGTATAAGATATAAGATATAAGATATAAGATATAAGATATAAGATATAAGATATAAGATATAAGATATAAGATATAAGATATAAGATATAAGATATAAGATATTAGATATAAGATATAAGATATCTTATATATGGCAGGGGACGGCAGGGGACGGCAGGGGACGGCAGGGGACGGCAGGGGACGGCAGGGGACGGCAGGGGACGGCAGGGGACGGCAGGGGACGGCAGGGGACGGCAGGGGACGGCAGGGGACGGCAGGGGACGGCAGGGGACGGCAGGGGACGGCAGGGGACGGCAGGGGACGGCAGGGGACGGCAGGGGACGGCAGGGGACGGCAGGGGACGGCAGGGGACGGCAGGGGACGGCAGGGGACGGCAGGGGACGGCAGGGGACGGCAGGGGACGGCAGGGGACNTAATATAATATAATATAATATAATATAATATAATATAATATAATATAATATAATATAATATAATATAATATAATATAATATAATATAATATAATATAATATAATATAATATAATATAATATAATATAATATAATATAATATAATATAATATAATATAATATAATATAATATAATATAATATAATATAATATAATATAATATAATATAATATAATATAATATAATATAATATAATATAATATAATATATTATAATTCATTAACAAAGATATATATGAGTTGCACAACAACAGCTAAGGAGGCTAAGTGTCTATATAACGCGGTATTTCCTTCATCGATCTACATCGCAAAGCCCACATCCTGATGACGGCAACCCATTGCTTTTTTATTGATGCTTTACCCCATAAAAGAAACTCTATAACAAGTCTCATTAACCTATAATGAGATGAGATTACTTTGACTATAATAATCATTGTCTATAATTATGCTAATATCTATTGATGCAGTTTTCAACGTACGCACTTCCTGGAGTTCAGAGTTGCTCTGAGTAACCTATTAACAATTCAGCTGAACAATTTCGCTCTAGTTGCTCTCACTATAAAGTTTCATTAAAGTTACTCAAGTTATTCATCAAAGTTCCGTCAAACTCACTCAACTCAAGGCTACTTTGGCAGTTGCGTGAACAGTTTTTCTGACGCAGACATTTTCCCAAAAAGTTCCCCCGCTGCCGCCGCGATCCTTCTTCTGAAATTTGAGCCCTTAATAACTGGGCTTATTTTACTGTCATTAAGAAGTGAATTAAAGAGGCGTATAAATTTAATATAGAGTGATGCTCTTTAATATATTAAAGAGGCGTAAGAATTTCATAAAATCTATTATGTTTATTAGTTTCTTGCGCTTAGAGTGACGCTTGTTTTGATCCGGAATTTATTTCTTTATGAAAGAGTAACAAATGAAAGACGTTGCGAGGAAATAATAAATCTTCAACGTGAAATTTTCAACGTTAAGTATCAAACGTGATGTTTTCAATGTAAAGTCTTCAACGTAAATATTCAACACAAATCAAGTCTTCAACGAATGTCAGGAGAAATTCTCCTTTTTAGTTCACACTTGATTGTCGTTCACGTGAGCATCTCTGAAGACGTCACAAAATAATTCATTTATTTCTTTACAACACAAAAAGCACTTCACATCTCGTTGGCACTCGAGAAAAAGGAGGACTTGACGCCAACGTTTATTGCTTCTGAAATTTAGAAGATATAAGAGGGATTTGTTTTGACGTAAATAATACCTTATATACTTTGAGGCTTTGTTTAGTGCCAATATCTTCTATTAATTACGTGGAATATATTGTATTATAAATACAGTATATAGAAGAATATAATATATAAGAGAATTGATCTGCTCGAAGGATGTATTTACGTGTAATATATTGTATGTATATATAAAAGAATTTATTATTTATAAGAAATGATCTACTTGAAGGAAGTACTTGCATGGAATATATTGCATCATAAATATATAGAAGAAATAATATTTTAAGGAAATATTCCGCTTGAAGGAACTATTTACGTAGGATATATTGTCACGTGAAAAATATTTTCACAGACAGTTTCATTTCACTTCGCATAGTATACACGTAGCGACGTAGCGGTGAAGCAAGGGCGGCATATAACAGATCTTATCTTTATAATTAATTAAATAATATATGTTCTATACACATCTCTTTTGCTGTTTATATCACAATAATATGTACAATAAAAAGTTACAAGTGAAACCTACTCAAGATATTCAGCAGCAAACTCTGCTGAATTTCAGCGCTAACATCTTGACTGCAAATGCCAATCCTTCATTAATTGAAGAAAGGGTTATTTGAATGTTAAATAATTGTTATTACAAAATATACGGAACGCGAAGAAATTGATTTGAATTAAAATCTACGGAGTTATTTTCACACATTTCACTATATGATTAGTGAAGTAAATTAACTATTTTATTATATTTCAGATGTAGGGTTTTCCTACTGCCTTGTCCTTTACGATACTCTGACGTAAGGCTTACGACATTACGAGACGCTCTTATGTAAGGCTTACGACATGCCTACAACAACAAGACGCTCTGACGTAAGGCTTACGACATGCCTACAACAACAAGACGCTCTGACGTAAGGCTTACGACATTACGACATGGTTGTTGCCGAGAACAGCTCGACAAAAAGTGTCGGCTGCCTGGGAATCGCCAGCGCCGCAGCCAAATAATATCTAAGAGAAAATTCCCAGCCTTCTGAGTAGTGCTTGGGTTGCCATGACGACGCTGCCAGTGACGTCATCGTGACGTCACGCGGCCCTGCTATATAAGAGCCGTGCAGGCCCTCGAGCCGCCAGACTTGCTTCGACCAGTGAAAGATAAGGTGGAGGAGCACGGATCACAGTGAGCCTGATCTGAAGGTGGAGTGAGCCGCTGCTGACAGTGCAGTTTGTCGGATTAATTTTTGTACATTTCTACCTTCAAGACGACGCGAATCACAGTTACTCCTGGTAAGATGAAATGGAATTACTTCACTATTTTGTATGCGTTGTATATATTTTATTTAGATAGGATATCGCTATCCGATCTTCGTTTCAAAGTGGACGCTGATTATGAAAGATATTGCCGCAATCGGTGATACTGAAGATTATTAATTATTTTTCATGCGCAATTGGAGATGCTGAAGATCATCCATTATTTTTTTATTGTTTAAATTTGCCAAGCTAATAAATATATTATAATTTATTGTTTTTCATGATATATTTTGGTGTTGCGTGCAGCTGGCATGGCTGAAGGGAGCTGCAGCAGCAGCAAGGGCCGCCACAGCCTCCACAGAGTCAAGTCCTTTGAACTCGAGCGGCTCGAGGTGGACGCGGAGTTCTGCGGCGTGCGTCTGCTGGCCGAGGGGTGGTACGCAAGAGTGTACAGTGCATACCATCATACTTCAGACACGAGACTGGCCCTCAAGTGCATACATAAAGAGACAACAAAGAAGAAAGATTTCTTCCGTGAGATACACTATAACTATTACCTCAGCCCTCACCCCAACATAATTAACAGCTTCGACGTGGCCTTCGATACGGCAACGTCTTATGTCTTCGCGCAAGAGTTGGCGCCTGAAGGAGATATGGCGGCCTTCGTGAAGAAAGGCGGCCTTGGTGAGATCAAAGCGAAGCGAGTGTCCGAACAGATAGCCTTCGCCTTGGAGTTCATGCACAGCAAAGACTTGGTGCACAGAGACGTTAGGCTAGAGAATATATTAGTTTTTGACAAGGACATGACGCGTGTTAAACTTGGCGACTTTGGCTTGACACAAAGAGCGGGGAATTTAGTTAAGAAAATTAACGTTAGAGTCCCATGGATGCCTCCTGAGATCTGCAGAGCAGTTTACAACGAAGGATACGAGGTCGAGACTTCCCAGGATGCTTGGCAGTTGGGGGTCCTAATATTCGTACTTCTGACAGGATCTTTCCCATGGTATTCTGCCGACATCACAGACCGTCACTACAACGCTTGGGTCGCTTGGATCAAACGCAAAACAACAAAAGTTCCCCAAAGATTTAAATGTTTTTCTGCTCGACTTCTTCGCCTTCTGCGAAGGCTATTGGAACCAAAGCCTGAGAAGCGCGCTGAGGTGCAAGAAGTTTACAAATACGTGTCGGACATCTGGCTCCTAAAAGGATCAGACCCGCAGGATATCGCTGCCTTTGATGAAAGTTCATCAGAAATCTTCATTAATGCTTCCAAAATGCCTTACGAAAACACCGGTGGTGGTGAACACCTCATGGACCTCCTGAAGACTTTTGGTGTCAAGACCACAGTGGATGAAGGGGAGACGACACAGAGGGTGTGTGAGTGGTTGCTCGCTGCCGACACGTCGACCTCCCACCGAGGGATGTGAGGGTCGGTCACGCTCGACGACCTCAAACATTTGTCATCTTTTGAACGGCGCCAGAGAAATTCGAAATCTCAGGAGTAACTATAATTATTTTCAGCACGGTTTCTGAACCTATTAAGAAACAACAACAAGTCGTTTTCTTCAATTGATGAGTCAAGAGATTTCTAATTAGGATTTAAAACCCTGAATATGTTTTCATAAATTGGTGATTAAATAATGATATAGAACTAAAATGAAAATAATTTGCCGTAAAGTTCAAAGTATTTCCAAGATATTGGTAAGAAGTTGAGAAACTTTATCTCATATATCATGGTGGTTATTATATAGTGCTTTACTATATGTCATATATCATGGTCGTTATTAGTGATATATGAAGGCACTAAACATGAAGAACTTGCTATATAGTTTATAGTATAGTGGAACTCATAATGGAGTTCTTGCGTTGACTGTGATATTATATATTTACTTGTTTTATACGATATTTTATATCGAATGCGTTTATTATAGTGATAGTTTGAACGTGATATTAGCCTAACGATCATCACATAACGCTCTATATATATCACTGTTATGTCTGCAGAACCATCTAAGTCTCATTACTCTTCTTGATCATGGGTCTGATAATAACATAGGTTCAGCATCAATACATTGATTTTTAGAACATAAAAGGTATTTAGATAATCTTTATACCATTATCAGCAACCCACTTTTCACTCTGTTCAATTAAATATAAACTACCGTAAGGCTTAAGAAGTCCTGACATATTGTACATATAATATCATGCACTTTCGTTGTAGCACGACTTTTACTATAAAAATTGTTAGTTTTCTTTAAGCATTGCTATTTAATTAACCGATCTAAAAAATGTTAAGTCAACAAAGCTATGATCTTCGTACGTTGTTCGATGAAATGATTTCACGGTTTATATGGAATGAGTTTGTTCATCATTTCTCGTAAGATATCATGAATGTATGGTGCCATGAATGTAAGGGGATGTAAGGTATCATAAATTGATATTTATTTTCATTTCTTCTTAGAAGCCCATTTATTGATATTTGACTTTTCAGCTGAAATTTACGTAGGTTGTTTAAGTTTAGGTAGGAAGACATATCAAGATAACTTTGTCGTTAAGTTAAAAATTTACCTATTCCCTACATGTTATCTACGTTGCCTACTGAAGCCGTAGTATGAATGTAGTAAATGCAGATATTCTTATCGCACATTTGTAAATATTTTCATTCATCGTGAATATTTTCATTTTCATTCATAGCTCATAATATGAAATCCTTTGATCATAATCCTTAGTATCCTGATAATATTAAGCTGATAATAGTGATAAATATCCTGATAATGTTATTATGAAGTTTCTACTGAACGCCGTAGCCATGCCCGGCAGAGGCAATAGGAGGTGTGCAATATGCAGTTATATTACACGATTTGCAATACATCTCATGATTATTACGTCTTTTTCTCACCAAAAATATCAGAAAAGAAATTCAGGTTAGTCTGTGTTTCTGGCGGATTGCATTAATTATAGAGCCATTGAAGCTATAGCCGCGCAGGAAGAGAATTTTAAAAATGATTCAAGAATGAGAGATATTTTAATGCATCTGAGCCTCAATTGATATATTAATGCATCAAATGACATATTAATGCACTTACAAGCATTCATTTGATTCATTCATGAATATCCCGACATGTCGTGGCTGAATATCTCGACTTTCCACACATCATAAGCAGTTAACATGGCAAGCAATTATGTTTTGTCTGCCCAAATCAGAAGTTGATATTTCAGAGCAGAACTTCAGAGCAAGCGAGTCCCGTTAATGAGCGACGGAGGTCAGAGCTGACTGAAGTAATTGCCAAACCGCCTTGTAAGTCATGCCAAAAACAGCACACGCACTCACAGTGAAGAATGAGTGGATAAAACATCACACGCACTCACAGTGAAGAATGAGTGGATAAAACATCACACGCTGTCTGAGGAGAAGGCCACAAGCGGCGACCTTCACCCGCTGAAAGCTGTGGCACACTCAGAGAAATGTGTGGGAGTTTATCAATATTGCAAGACACTTTTATCCCTTATGTGGGTCATCCTGACCCAGTCTGGATCTCTAGTGCTACGTGCACTCTTGTGTTGTTGGTAAGAAAGTCCCATTAAATGGACAATTTGTCTCGTTCCTTTAACTTAACAATTCGATTATTCATTCATTTAATATGACCAACTCAACATGCGGCAATGTGGCTTACGAGGCTAATATATGACTAAACACATTCATTATTATTATTATTAGAGGATATGGCGAATTAAATTCACAAGGTAATAGTTCAAGTAATTTCAAGTTCGGAAAAATTCTACAATATCTGCGCTATCGTTGAACTTGATGAAATAGAGCGGAAACAAGTTTCAACTTCATAACGTTCTTAGTTTTTTATTTATTAACAAATTAAAAGGGTCAGTTAATTCTGCTTCACCCTGTATTAAGCATGTGATTCACGCGGCGTGATGGCGAGGGCACAACACTCATTGATGTCATTCATGAATACCTCGACATGTCGTGGCTGAATAATGAATTTCTGAAGTTTGTATTGACCGCAGGACGCCATTTTTTAATTGATAGCACCTGGAACAGAGGAAATGTATACACTCGGTAAAAGAAATGTATTAAATGGCAACTTCCAGACGTACACACAGCACAGCGGACGTAGCACTGATACCCCATTTTAAGGAATAACTAGGTCAGGATGACCCAACAAAGGGTAAAAAGTGCATGGCTATTGGGCCATGTCTCACTTAGTTCTCTGAGTGTACGATTCTGATTGTGTGATCACACTTGGATTTTAATCATTGAATTGCCCTGAGACTAGCGATGATGGGAATAATTCAGGATGATAATTTAGGATAATAATTTAGGATAAAAATTCAGGATAATAATTTTTGATAATAATTTAGGATAATAATTTAGGATAATAATTTAGGATAATAATTTAGGATAATAATTTAGGATAATAATTTAGGATAATAATTCAGGATAATAATTTAGGATAATAATTTAGGATGATAATTTAGGATGATAATTAAGGATAATAATTTAGGATAATAATTCAGGGTAACTCGAAATATTCAGAGAAGATTAATTGTTTAAAAAAATCTGTTTAAAAATAACATTTGACGTCTATAAGTTTTCAGCAACTATAAATTTCTTGAGCCGCTATGAAACTATTCTGAGAACACTTCCTTTACGACGCTTCTTCGCACAATACTCAAAGTTTCCTCGACAATATCATGGATTTCTTGAAAATATCCACTCTGTTTATGAATAAAATAATTATGTCATAATAAATATTATAACCAATTATTCCACAATGAATTAACATGACAACTTACCACATTTAATTATCAATTAACATGTCAAGCAATTATGTTTTGTCGCTTAAAGCAGCAGATTTGATCGCATTTCAGAGCAGAACTTCAGAGCAAGCGAGTCCCGTTAATGAGCGACGGCGGTCAGGGCCTGTCTCTTATACACATCTAGATGTGTATAAGNCTTTCTACCTTTGTGTGGGTCAACCTGACCCAGTGCTACGTGAAAGTCTCATTATATGGATAATTTGTCTCGTTACTTTAACTTGAATATTCTAAAACACATTAATTTAATTTGACTCAACATGCGACAATGTGGCTTAGGATGCATATATATGACTATACACACTCATTGTTATTATTAGAGGATATAGTGAATGAAATTCATAGGGTAATAGTTCAAGTAGTTCCAAATTTGAAAAAAATTTTCAATATCAGCGCTCGCGTTGAATTTGAAGAAATAAAGAGGGATAAGACGCCGTATTAAGATGAAATTTAGTGGAATAGGACGCCGTATTATGATGATTTAGAAGTCAACACGCAAACACTTAGCTCTATAAAAAATATTGCGTGGACAAGCAAAAATTAAATGCAGGTTATATTAGGCGAAAAAAAATCGCCTAGCACGCAGTCATTCGTTTAGGATGATTTAGAATAGAATAGAATAGAATAAAATAGAAAAGAATAGAATAGAATAGAATAGAAGTGTCGGCGTTGAAGAAATAGGTCCATGGCCTGTTGCCGATTCTTGAACTTTTCTTGACTTGATTCACAAGGGATCCGGCCTTTGGAACCCGATCTTTCCATAGCTGACGATTGATTGAGATAGCTGCTGGACTTCTTGCCTGGATCCGTATAAGT